AAGGAAAAGGAAAAGGAGAAGGGAAGGAGAAGGAATAGGAGAAGGAGAAGGAGAAAGAGGAGAGGGAGAAGGAGAAGGCGGACATGAAGGAGAAGGAGAAAGTGATGATGTTGGGCATGGAAGAGGAAGAGAAGGAGAAGGAGGAGTAGGAGGAAGAGGAAGAGACGGAGAGAGAGACGATGATGGAGGACATGGAAGAGGAAGAGAAGGAGAAGGAGACGGAGAAAGAGATGGTGATGAGGATGGAGATGAAAGAGGAAGGAGGAGAAGGGAGAGGAGGAGGAGGAGGAGAAGGAAAGGTGATGATGGAGATAGAAGAACAGGAGGAGCAGAAGGAGAAGGACAAAGAGGAAGAGGAAGAGAGGTAGGAGAAGACTTTTAAGGTTGCAACCAGACAAAGGACCTCCAGCTGCCATTCACACAACAGAGTTGAGGTCAGGGATTGATTGGCCGAAAGACCAGACCACGGAAGGCTGAAGAAACTTTGGGGAGGGGGGTCTTGTATTCCTCCTCCGATGAAAAACACATCACAAGGGCCAGACTCACCCTCAAACCACCCCCCCCCCACGTAGGAAAAGCACCCCAGTCCCTTTGCAAAAATTGTTCAGTGTTTAATTGGGAAATATTTGTCGGACATTCAAAATCTTTGGATTTTGTCTGTCGGGCCAGTCCTCAAAATCCTGTAAGCAGACTATACAGCCAGTCCTTGATTTATAAACATTCATTTAGTGACCGTTTGAAGCTGCAGTGGCATCGAAAAAAAGCGCTTCTTTTGGTGCTCGGCCACTGACTCCTCTTTATGACGGTCGCCGTGTCCCGGGATCACGTGAACCCCTTTTTGTGACCTTCTGACAAGCAGAGTCAATGGGGGAGCCATTCATATTTGAAAGGGAGATACTAATACTAATACTAATAAGAATAAAGTTGGAAGGGACCTTGGAGGTCATCTAGTCCAACCCCCTGCTCAGGCAGGAAACCCCATACAATTTCGGACAAATGGCTGTCCAGTCTCTTCTTGAAAACTTCCAGTGTTGGAACATTCACCGCTTCTGGAGGCAGGTTGTTCCACTGGTTAATTGTCCTCACAGTCAGGAAGTTTCTCCTTAGTTCTAGGTTGCTTCTCTCCTTGATCACCTTTATTGTCATTTGTTTTACTGTGGGCACAACGGCCCGCATCAAAAATGAAATTTCGTGGCCCGCTCTCAAATAAAACACACAATTTCGTTGCCCGCTCTCAAATAAAACACACACATAAACATACTATGTACAACATACGTATAGACCCACACCCCTACATAGGGCATAACAAATAAATATTAAACACTGTCCATCTCTCTTCTGTTCCCCCTAAATATGTGGCACAACCCGGTTTGGTTTGGCTTGGTTTTGAGTACAATTTTGTCCATTCGGAGGGAAAGGAGGTCGAGATGGACATCCAGGTGGGAGACGAGACGTTCCCAAAAGATTAAAACCGGAGTTTGTCTTTTTTTCATTAGGGCTGATGTTTCCATCTGCCAGCTGGAAAAAAAAACGGTGCCAGTTTGTGTGTGTGTGTGTTGTGCGTGCGTGAGAGATCTCTTCTCAGAGCGAAAGCTTGCTTAAAGCGTGAGACTGGTGAATTTTTATACATTTAATAATAACTCTTCCCTGTGGCTGTCGCTTCGTCCTGCGTGGAAGAAGATGAGGCCATTTTTCATTCTCTCCCTTTAGGTGAGGATAAGATCGCGGGCTTGAATTAGAAAAAGGCGCCGCGCGGAGGGCAGTCTATTTATCCCCCATCGTGGTTTAGTGAAGCAGAGATCCCTGGTTCTTCTAAAAACCCTTCCTTCCTTCCTTCCTTCCTTCCTTCCTTCCTTCCTTCCTTCCTTCCTTCCTTCCTTCCTTCCTTCCTTCCTTCCTTCCCTCCCTTCCTTCCTTCCCTCTCTCCTTCCTTCCTTCCCTCCTTCCCTCCCTCCCTCCCTTCCTCCCTCCTTCCCTCCCTTCCTTCCCTCCTTTCCTCCCTCCCTCCCTTCCTTCCCTCCTTCCCTCTCTCCCTCCCATCTTCCTTCCTTCCTTCCTTCCTTCCTTCCTT